TGCGGGTGCATCAACGAAAGTACCTGGAGGCATTGGCTGCCAACTTTGGGCAGAGTGAAGGCCATGTGGCTACACCCTTTCCCTCTGGGTTCAAGTGTGTGAAGGGACCAAAGGAGGAGAGCGTTGGTGAAGAGGAGAGGCGCCGATTTCACTCGTTGGTGGGCAGCCTCATGTATGCGGCGGTAAACACCCGACCGGACGTCGCGTTTGCTACCGGGCAGCTGGCTAGGGTTGTGCAATGCCCTAATGAGGAGCAGGTAGCAGCTGGAATGAGGGTGGCCAAGTATCTTGGCCAAACACCGACCGTTGGGCTGCAATACTCGGCGGCGGCACAAAGGCGCCAAAAGGGCGCGGATGGTGTTGAACCCGGGCGTTTGTTCCTCACCGCCTACTCGGATGCTTCATATGCATCAGAACCAGAGGACATGACAAGTGTGGGAGGCTTCATATGCTGTGTTGGTGGAGGCCCAACTGCTTGGGAGAGCAAGAAGCAGGTTGACCAAGCTTTGAGCTCGGTGGAGTCCGAGTACATGGCACTCTTCCGTGCCGTACGGGAGATTGTGTGGCAGCGGCGTTTGTTGGCTGAATTGGGGGAGGAGCAGCAAGGACCTACCCCACTGTACTGTGACAGCCAGGGTGCCATTGCTCTTGCTAAGAACCCTGTGTTGCATGGACTCACGAAGCACATGAGGGTGAAGTGGCATTGGACGAGGAGCATGGTAACCGCGGGTGAAGTTGAGTTGCGCTACGTGAAGACCACGGGGCAGCCGGCTGACATGATGACCAAGAGGCTGGTGGAGCAGCAGCATTGGAAGTGTTGCAAGCTGGCTGGGATGGCTCTCAACTGAGAGAGCAACATATCCTAAGGCCAACAATCCGAGGGGGAGTTTGTTGGTGCAACCCTACGGTTTGCACTCGGCTTGTTGTCCGTGTGCGTGAATGTGTGTGTGTATGGAATGGTATGAGGGCATGGGATAATATATATTTCATGCTTATAATTGTGTGTGAATGTTGAGTCATGATGTCGAGTGTGTGTGTCGAGTCAATAGCGAGTTATCGCTAGACGCGTGTTACGCGGTCGTTTGTGTCTCGCGCGCGGTTTCTATTTTGTCGTGCGCGGTTTCAATTTTGTCCTGTGTCGAACGTTCGGCGTGTCGCAGGTGTGTGCAGCAGACCCATCAAGAACTCAAGGATGAGTTTGTGATGAAGAGCCCGAGCCTTGGTGTCAAGCCTCAAGTGATTTCGAAGCTCGCCAAAAAGGGTACACCTCAAGATATTGAAGATATTTACATTACTTTGTGTAGTGTAACATTTCACTTGGTGTAGGCCCTAGTGAAGGGTAGTTTCGAGACCCTTCGTGGTTGGGGACAGTGTGGCACTGTTCCACATCACTGTACCTCGGCTCTTGGGGTTTGTAGGAGCTGGGAGTCATTCCCAACTCGTAACTCTTCCTATCTTGTGTTCTAAGACTATAGTGGCTGCCATAGTACCGTTCGTTCAAACCGACGCTGTGTCGTCAATTCTTTATCAAATCGTGCAATCTAAATTGCTAATTGTAGACGACGTAAAGACGCTCCAGATCCAATTTGAATCAAGTCATTTGCAGCTGTGAGCAGAACGCTATCAACGTTTGAAGCCGCTGTGCAGAAATCCGTCTGTGCTCTCTATCTTTCGTTTTAGGCACATTCAAGCCTATTGTGACTATAACACCTATGGCTAGGGAATAGGATGTAGTAGATTACAGTGTGAAGAAATAGAGGTAAAAAAGGCATCCAGACGTCGGTGCAGCGACATGTTGCGCACAGGCCTATCCTTGCATAGTTTCAGGCCAGCAAACGCACAAACATGCGTCACGTGCTGCGTAGTTGTGCTAACGAGTTCAAATCAGTTCCTATGGCTAGGGAATAGGATGCAGTAGAGTACAGTGTGAAGAAATAGAGGTAAAAAAGGCATCCAGACGTTGGCGCAGCGACATGTTGCGCACAGGCCTATCCTTGCACAGTTTCAGGCCAGCAAACGCACAAACATGCGTCACGTGCTGCGTAGTTGTGCTAACGAGTTCAAATCAGTTCCTATGGCTAAGGAATAGGATGTAGTAGAGTACAGTGTGAAGAAATAGAGGTAAAAAAGGCATCCAGAGGTTGGCGCAGCGACATGTTGCGCACAGGCCTATCCTTGCGCAGTTTCAGGCCAGCAAACGCACAAACATGCGTCACGTGCTGCGTAGTTGTGCTAACGAGTTCAAATCAGTTCCTATGGCTAGGGAATAGGATGCAGTAGAGTAAAGTGTGAAGAAATAGAGGTAAAAAAGGCATCCAGACGTTGGCGCAGCGACATGTTGCGCACAGGCCTATCCTTGCACAGTTTCAGGCCAGCAAACGCACAAACATGCGTCACGTGCTACGTAGTTGTGCTAACGAGTTCAAATCAGTTCCTATGGCTAGGGAATAGGATGCAGTAGAGAACAGTGTGAAGAAATAGAGGTAAAAAAGGCATCCAAACGTTGGCGCAGCGACATGTTGCGCACAGGCCTATCCTTGCACAGTTTCAGGCCAGCAAACGCACAAACATGCGTCACGTGCTGCGTAGTTGTGCTAACGAGTTCAAATCAGTTCCTATGGCTAGGTAATAGGATTTAGTAGAGTACAGTGTGAAGAAATAGAGGTAAAAAAGGCATCCAGACGTTGGCGCAGCGACATGTTGCGCACAGGCCTATCCTTGCACAGTTTCAGGCCAGCAAACGCACAAACATGCGTCACGTGCTGCGTAGTTGTGCTAACGAGTTCAAATCAGTTCCTATGGCTAAGGAATAGGATGTAGTAGAGTACAGTGTGAAGAAATAGAGGTAAACAAGGCATCCAGAGGTTGGCGCAGCGACATGTTGCGCACAGGCCTATCCTTGCGCAGTTTCAGGCCAGCAAACGCACAAACATGCGTCACGAGCTGCGTAGTTGTGCTAACGAGTTCAAATCAGTTCCTATGGGTAGGGAATAGGATGTAGTAGAGTACAGTGTGAAGAAATAGAGGTAAAAAAGGCATCCAGACGTCGGTGCAGCGACATGTTGCGCACAGGCCTATCCTTGCACAGTTTCAGGCCAGCAAACGCACAAACATGCGTCACGTGCTGCGTAGTTGTGCTAACGAGTTCAAATCAGTTCCTATGGCTAGGGAATATGATGTAGTAGAGTACAGTGTGAAGAAATAGAGGTAAAAAAGGCATCCAGACGTTGGCGCAGCGACATGTTGCGCACAGGCCTATCCTTGCACAGTTTCAGGCCAGCAAACGCACAAACATGCGTCACGTGCTGCGTAGTTGTGCTAACGAGTTCAAATCAGTTCCTATGGCTAGAGAATAGGATGTAGTAGAGTACAGTGTGAAGAAATAGAGGTAAAATAGGCATCCAGACGTTGGCGCAGCGACATGTTGCGCACAGGCCTATCCTTGCACAGTTTCAGGCCAGCAAACGCACAAACATGCGTCACGTGCTGCGTAGTTGTGCTAACGAGTTCAAATCAGTTCCTATGGCTAGGGAATAGGATGTAGTAGAGTACAGTGTGAAGAAATAGAGGTAAAAAAGGCATCCAGACGTTGGCGCAGCGACATGTTGCGCACAGGCCTATCCTTGCACAGTTTCAGGCCAGCAAACGCACAAACATGCGTCACGTGCTGCGTAGTTGTGCTAACGAGTTCAAATCAGTTCCTATGGCTAGGGAATAGGATGTACTAGGGAGCTGTGTGAAGAAACAGAGGTAAAATATGCATCCAGACATTGGCGCAGTGACATGTTGCGCACATGCCTATCCTTGCAGCAGCAGCAAGGCCAGCAGCAAACAATCAAACAATCAAGCTACAGTGCTCCAAATGACCTGAATGTGGGATGGAAGGGTCCTTGCACTATCCCTTGATATCCTACCCAGGTTAGATCCCATTCTAAAATAGCTAGCACCGTCAACTCATGCCTCGATAATATGGATGCCAGAAGTACTCACCATCGTCGTCCATTGCGTTTAACATGACAATGCGTCAACCTATGAAGAAGGTATTTCCCTACTGTGAGATTACACACGCTACTATGTGGACGGTAACGTAAACACAAGTCAGGTGTTTACATAAGCTATTATAGTACATACATTGAGTTTATTGAATATATTTGGGATGGACAAACAATTAGAACTGCCATTTATCAAAGTTGCGATGTGTAACACTGATGCACACAACATGGTTTAAATTCTGTGCCACAGGATTCCCGCATCATGGCGACGCGTCGCAACCAGGTTTCGTAGCAGTCGCGCTGCAAATCTGGCAACGTCCACGTCACATGGGTCGCGTAACGGCAGTTTCGTGCGCTGGTTGCGAGCCTGTTTCACCGATACAAGGGATTGTCAAGTGATAGAGACCAGTTGTGTGCGCCGGTTAAAACAGTGGTTGATCCCAGTCGTCAATCGAAATGTCGTTATAGGCCTGATGTTAGGTGAAACAATTAAGTCCATGCTGTCGCCAGCTTGAAGATCAACGGTAGGCTGCCACAGTTGCTTTCATCGAACGGGCGTGCCTTGTTCTGTTTGCTATCGACTTTCAAACTTCAATTCCAAAACCACGAGAAGACACATTACATTACTCTCTGCCAAGTACCGTGCAGCCGATATCCCCAAAACCACGTCCAGTCTCAGTACTAGCTAGCTTGTGACTACCCGCCTTGCCGCCGGCGACTCACACAATCCGGTCATAGGCGCATGCTGTTGTACGTTCGTTAGTGTGCCATGGCTGCTGAGACGGGCACGGGGGCTTTGTTTCACTGCGCCATTGCGCAAAGTTGCCGCGCATACTGCTATTCTCGTACCGGTGCAGCACGCCTTAGTATAAAACTTGCCAGCCGCTTAACAGCATTTCATTATACATTTGGTAGACATCCGCTTCACCTCTCCTACATTCTCAACTGCCACACTAGATCGGTGAGATGGAATCAGCTGGGAAGAGGCAGTCCAAGCCGACCTACAAGATGGCACTTTCCAAAGGCCTCGGCAACAAGCCAACGAAGACCCACGCGCGAGGGCGTGCTGCAGACGTTGAAGAGCGAGAGGAAGGACGTTTGGAGAGCAACGCCGAAGCTGACGATGCTGCTCCTGCGGTGGCTGAGGCCTCGCCCAGCCGCGTCCCGGCTACCACCACCCTCGGTGATGGTGGAGCCATCAGGGAGGCGCTTGACGATCTAGACTGTGAAGAGGATGGAGAGGCAGAGGATGCCGTTTCACCGAGCGCAACCGCGCCATTTGGTAAGCACACACCGTTTTCTCACAAGTACGAGGGGATTGAGATGTGATGTGCGGCTTTATCTCACGTTTAATTTCTCTCACCTTTGCCCTTTTCCTGGTCGTTTACCTGATCCTGCAGCCGAGTCCTCGAAACGAGCGTGCATCGCCGACGTCACTGCCCGGACTGATGCTGCTCCAAGCACCTCCAAGCAAGCGGGGACTCCGCTGCCAGGCAGCCTGGAATGCACGCGGAACGCTGGTGCTGCGGGCGATAAAGCGTCGGTGTCACAGAGCAACGAGGTGGAGAAGCTGAATCGGCAGTTGCGTGAGCATCAGAAGGAGATCGCGGCTCTGAAGGCGGCGCGTGGGTCGACATCGTCGCAGAGTCTAACTGAGAACGGGTGCAACCAGACTGCTCCCTCGGGGAGCACACCTGTAGTTGGCTCGAAATCCCGCCAGCCGAACCCGGGGGCAGGGCCATCAAATCGGTCGCTCGTCATCCCAGGTGCAGGTCGCTCTCGTGGTGGAATCGTCATTCGTGAACCACAGACATCACTGGCTAAGCGGAAGTTCCCGGCGCATGATGACAACTGCACGGAAAGACAGGTGGTGCAGATGTCCTTCGTTTCCAACATACCTCGGAGGGCGCAAGAGATGATGGCCAAGCTGCCTCCCTTCGGCACGGCATGGAGTGTGAGTTTCCCATGTGCCTTACACCATGTCATCATTCCTCCCCTCCCCCCCCCCCCCCCCCCCTCTCTCCCTCTTCCTTGTCCCCGGTCCCCGTCCCCCTCCCATCACCCCTCTCCTCCCCTCCCTCCACCCCATTTGACTCTGCATTTATGTGCCTCGTTGTCCACCCTTGTCCGGTTGCGTTGCCCTCCCGCTATCGTTTAATGCATTCTAATCTCGCTTTCCCATTTTGTTCATTACGTTTGTTCCACCCTTTGACAGGCAATGATGGAACTGGCAACCAAGATTGCATTGTTTATGCAACCGGACGATGACACCTGCATGTATCTTGAGTGTCACGTCTTGAATGCGCATCTCATTCTAGTGTGGGGGCCCAACATGGAGGAGCCTATACAGCATGTTATGCTGTACGATGCCGCGAGGAAGGGGGCGGGAAAACGCAAGCAGAACGACTGGCGCTGCCGGCTCAGCAAGAACTGCCGGAAGGTGGTTGCTGACGCGTTCGGCCTTCCGTGCGAGGCAAATCCCAGGCTTCGATACGACTACAGCGAGCTGGTGTCGACCACCCAGCGCACACACACCCAAGTCTACAACCTGGAAGAGGTGAAACCGAACGGTAAGTGCAGTAAGGCAGAAAAAAATGATGCTGTCGTGCCATGTGCTACGTGCTACCGCTTCGATTCTCATACGTGCTCCGTGTTGTGCTGCACTTAATAGTTTCCTGTTCTGCTGCTCCTAATACCACCCACACGCCCATTTCCAGTGAGAGGTGGCATGCTGCAGTGGCATGTCGATGATGACACCGGCCGTCCGTTCGCCACTGCTGTGTTTGACATCATGATCAGAAATGGTTTTCAAAAGGGCGGTGGAGGCCAGAAGACAGTGATCAAGGCCTATCATATCGCCTATGCACTATATCTGGTAAGAACCTAAAATTTGGGTCAGATTTAGGAGGGGGAGTGGGGGAAGGGGGGGGGTGGGTTTTGTAGCCTCAAGTGTTAACTGCACCGGGTTGATTATTGCTGTTGTTCCAGAATGCTCAAGCCCACCCATTTGTTCCTGAAAACCCTGAACCACCAACCCCTACCAATTGTACTATGCAGGTGGAGTTTGCCATCATCAGGCATAGGAGGAACGGTCAGCGGATCCCAACAGACCCGGATCTCAACGCTGACGACATTGCCGACTACCACACCAAGGTGAAGGCCTGGATCGTGAGCTACATCCGAGCTACACCCACCCCAGATCTGCCTGAGTGGTCCGATGAGTACCAGGGGTGGGTGTTTGGGCCCACAAGAACTGTAGTGATCTCAGGCAGCGGCCTCAGGGAGGTGACCCCTGTTGGAGCAGACCCAGATGCGGCCGAGAAGAAGAGAGTTGAGCGATTGTTGAGGTTTGCGAGAGTGAAGCAGGAGAGCAAGCTGCCTGGCCAGCAGCAGAAGAGCAAGGGGAAGGAGCCGGTGGAGTATGAAGAGGAGGTGGAAGAGGCATTGGATAATGATGATGAATATTAGCACTTTAAGCAGGTGCATGTGTGCAGGGCCCCAAGTGTATTTCCCTAACCCAGCTTCTTTGTAACCAGTTAATTATCATAAAATTAACAGCTTATCATTCTGGATGTTTAATTGATGATGATGCACTAATGAATCATCTTGTATCGAGAAGGGTGAATACTAATGCTAGACAGTTATCTTGCAGCTGTTATGTAATAGGTCTCCCATCATGTGTGAAATCATTACCATTGTATCATCCCCAAAGCTTATGCAACTGGTAAGAAAGGGCTGCACCAAAATATAGTTGATGTGATATAACGGTGCTACAATTCCCATGCATATGCTGAATACTGATCGGTATCCAAACTGAGCATACTGAACGCATACGCAGCTTTTTACTGCTTAGTAGCCCTAAAAACCAATAACGAAAGGCTAGCGTTTAGTATGCAAACATCATACATTTAGTATGTTAAACAGACCCGCATTTTTGAGATGGAGGTGAAGCCACTGGTCCACGTAAGCGTTCTTGCTGAGCTGTCACAGACCCTGCTCAGCATGCGGAATTCGTCCGAATCCAGCCGCTCCAAGGAGGAGCGCTGCCCCGGCCCCAGCACAGCATCTGCCCATTTATGCCCCTTCTTCGCACGTAGATAAACCCTCGCGTGCGTGTAGAAAGCTGCCGCGATTCTGCGCAGCACTCTCCTGGACCGAAATTGACCCCTTTCGAAAGGCCGCATCACACCTCTCCACCCAGATCTTGTGGAAGGCAATAGCGGTAAGTGTTGCCTCTGGAAAGCCTGACCCCGAGCCTTCCTTCTGAAAAAACAAATCCCCCAGCGACGTGATTTTCCTTCACGGGTTGAGGAGGCGGAGGGCTTTTAGCAGCCCCTGCACCACCGGTTGGATGCGGGGACAGCTGAACAAGCAGTGCTCCGCCGATTCCTCCCCCCCGCAGTGCGGACAAACCACCCCTTCCAGGAACTTCAGCCGTACCCCAACCTGCAGGTTCCAATAGTGCAGCCGAAGCAGCACATCACGAGCCCGGTTCGGGAGCACCGCAGAATCCCGCACCCTGATGACTCTCTTCCAGTCAATTGTACACCCCCAGTCTTCCGCCCATTTTACTTGCTGCAGCATCACCCCCCGCTGCGCGCCAAAAATCCGCCTCAGCTGCTTGAAAGGGGGAAGCTGCCCATCTGCACAGAGCTCCGAGCATCGCAGCCGCACTTCAGGCAGACCGCTCACCCCGCTCACCCCGCTCGCGAAACGGATCGCGCCTCGGCGAACCTAAATTGGCCTGATTTTGGTCTGGTTTTGGTGTACAGTTCTTGTTTGACATGGCTGAAATTTCAAGCTTCAGTGGTCCCGCGAAAGCATTCGATTTGTCGAGCCACCTTTGGTGCGAGAGTAGCAGGGCGCGCTTCGGGCTCCCCAAATTGGACCAAAATAGGATTGATTTGAGGCCAACCTCGGGCCTACATTTTGCTTTGTAAACTGTTTGTAAACTAAGACAAAATGCTGCAATAAAATCTTAGATAATCATGGTGACACATTCTCACATAAAGATCTAACCTGAAAAAAAAAAAACAAAACTAATGAGGGAGTGGATGACATATACATTTGTGTGGAATTGTTTACAACAATAAATAAAATATACAAAGACAATAACCTGTTATAAAAATACGCCTACGCATTGTATTTATAATGTAGTACACGCTTGAATGACAAAAACAATATTGTTTAGAACAAAAAAAGGGCGTTGATTTGGCACCACGTAATTGTGAGAATACTAGCGAGGAATGATTGAACTAGAAATGAGATGGGTACAAATAGGAAAACCTAGAAAAGCTGTACCCCATAATGTCTAACCCACTACAACCTAAACAGGCAATATCATATATGTTTGACACACCCCCATAGGCAAAGTGTGGGAGAACAAGGGGTCACAAGACCGGACAAGAAAAGCAAAGCAAGCCCAGGGTGGATCACAACGTCACCACGCATTCTGAGCACAAACAAATGGCCACAAGGCCAGTTCACATGCAGAGTTATATAAAGGAGAACAAGCGATACAGTGATCACAGCCTAGCAAGTGTAAGCATGCAGGTATATGTATAGAGATCACAGTACAAGCAGAGTCAAGAAGTAAGCAAGTGAGGCACAGTAGGCACAAGGCCTAGAACAGTACAGAAACGCTGATGATCACAAGGCTGAAGGGCCTTGGTGAAGACATCAGCAGTGTTGGCCCGAGTGGCCACGTAAGCAAGACGAAGCTGACCACGCTGCTGCAACTCTCGAGCAAGGAAGTAGCGCAGAGCAATGTGCTTCGTTCTGTGCTCCAGTCTGTGCTCCTGACACAAGGCAATCATGGCCTTGTTGTCGACGTACAGCACTGGAGGAGAACGAGGCGGCTCTCCAAGGTCGGTCAGCAGGTAGGTGAGCCAGCGTAACTCCTGTGCAGCCATGGCCCCTGCGTAGATCTCAGCCTCACAACTGGAGCTGAGAACAGAAGACGAGCGGGTAGACCGCCAAGAAACAGAGCCGGAGCCAAGGCTGAAGGTGTAACCCTGTGACGACCGCTGCGTAGCCAAGTCGTCAGCCCAAGAAGCGTCTGCGTGACCAGTGAGGACAACTCGAGCCCGTCCTCCAAGCACGAGCCCCATGCCCGACGTACTGCACAAGTAGCGCAACACCCTCTTAGCGGCATCCATGTGCTCCTTCCTGTGTCTGCCAGGAGCGACATAGCGTGCTAGGATGCTAAGCGGGTAGGCAAGGTCAGGTCGAGTGCAGGTCATCAGGTACATGAGGCAGCCCACAAGCTCTGGATACGGGCCACTCGGCTCTACGGACTCGTCCGAAGGTGGAGCTGAGAGCGAGTGATCGGTAGGCAGAGGAGTGGACTGTGGCGAGGAGTACGTGAAGCGGAAGCGCTGAAGGGCCTGCTGCACCATGTGTGACTGAGTCAAGGTAATGGTGCGCTGTGCTCTGTCCCGGGTGATCCGCAAGCCAAGATAGCTTGTCAGCTCACCCAGGTCTGTGCACGTGTGTCTCTTCTGCAGCTCCGACTTCACGTGGGCGAGTCCCTCAGTGTCAGCAGTAGCAAAGACCAGGTCGTCTACGTACACGAGAACGTAGAACGGCGGCAGAGTGGTGTCGGTGCGTAGAAACAGCGACGGGTCAGCAGTAGAAGGAGCAAACCCAAGAGCAGCAAGAGTCGTCCTCAGTGTGTCGTGCCACTCACGGGGTGCCTGGCGGAGACCGTAGACTGGCCGCCGGAGGCTCCACTGGGTACCAGGAGGAAACGACCCAGTGAAGCCAGGTGGGCGGCGCAGCCAGATCTCCTCGTGCAGGCTGCCCTGTAGGAAAGCAGTGCTGAAGTCAAGAGAGTGGAGCTCGTAGTTACGCTGAGGGGCGACGTGCAGCAGAACCCGAAGAGTGGTCATCTTCGGGGTAGGGGAGAAGGTCTGGAAGAAGTCAACTCCCTCACGCTGACTGAAGCCTCGTGCAACGTAACGCGCCTTGAAGACAGGCGGAGAACCCGGCGGCCGCTTCACCCTGAAGATCCACATGCCACTGACGATGTTCGCCCCAGGCGGGAGAACCTCGTCGACGTAGGTGCCTGTGGACTTCCAGGAAGCCATCTCTGTGTCCATGGCCGTCTGCCCCTGAGAGGAGTAGGGACCCTCTATCGCCTCTGCGTAAGAGCGCGGGGTCGGGATGTCTAGTGCATCCGGGTCTCCCTCAGGGGCAAGCAGCATGGACACGAGATGAGGTAAAACAGCGGCAAAGCACTCAAACTCCTCCTGTCTGTCCTCAAGGACGTCCGTGCCAAGAGCACACTCACCCCCGACGGACGGAGGACAGACAGACTCAGACTCAGACTCAGCAACAAGACTAGCGGCGTAGTCTAGACGACAGGCGGCAGCAAAGTCAACAAGCTCAGCAACTAGAGCAGACGCAGCAGTGGACTCAAACGAAGGGTCAGTGACAACAGTGGCCAGGAAACGCGTGACAGTAGGACTAGCAGCACGAAGGGAGTCAGACTCCGGGTCCGGACCGTCAGGAAGAGAGGACGCAGGAGGAGACGGCAGAGGGACATGCTGTGGAGCAGTGGACGGACGAAGTGTCATATAGTGAGTGCCAGGGACAGGAGGAGGACGCTCACGAGGAACACGACGACCAGTGCGAACCGCGCGTACAGGCGACTCAGGACGAGACTCAGGCGATGCAGGACGAGACTCAGGCTCACGACGCTCCGTAAGACCTCTAGTCGGTCCAGAGTAAGGAGAAGGACCAGGCAGTGGAGAGGCTGGCTGTAACTGCGACTGCGACTGGACAGGCGGTGGACTCAGTAGGGGAGGAGTAGGGCCAGTAGAAGGCGGGAGGCCAAGAACCTGCTGAAGGAGCGGAACGTAGTACGGCCGCGGCCGCGCAGCGCCTCCAGAAACAGCAGAGACAGCACCAGTACCCGCAGCTCCAGGGTCTCCAGCTACAACTCTCTCAGCACCACCAGCGACAGCACCTCCAGCAGCTCCAGCTCCAGCAGCACCTCCAACAGCAACAGCTCCAGCACCTCCAACTCCAACTCCTGCAGCACCACCAGCCCCAGCTCCTGCAGTACCACCAGCCCCAGTAGCTCCAGTACCTCCAGTACGAGCACCTCCGGGACCAGCGGCTCCAGCACCTCCAGCAGCTCCAACACCAGCAGGACCTCCAGCAGCGCCAGGACCTCCAGTACAAGTACCTCCGGGACCAGCGGCTCAAGCACCTCCAGCACCAGCAGCACCTCCAGCAGCTCCAGCTCCAGAAGCACCTCCAGCAGCACGGCTACAGCGCCGAGCGTACCACTCACGCAGCTGCGGTGGAGAGAGAGGCTCCCGCCGTGATAGGACACCCGGAGGACCTCCAGACTCAGCACACTCAGGCTCAGCACCCCCAGACTCGGCACCCTCAGACTCAGCAACCCCAGGCTCAGCACCCCCAGGCCCCGCACCCGCAGGCTCAGCACCAGAGTCGACAGC